GGAGTGTTACAAAGGTATCAATCAAGAAAAGAGTATAAAACACATCCAAAGCATTATATATGTATATATACAATAGAAACCAGATATTTACATACACTGTATAAAAATGAACCTGATCTTTTTTTCATAATTTTCTAATATTATCATAGTACACATTCTCTGTTTTTGTTAGATGACCAAAATTATAAAGCTAAATGCCAGAATAACGGCAGACATTTTTTTCTTTCTTCAAATTCAAGAGTTGCGTACACTAAGATTACTTTGCCTTTAAACAATGTATGAAAGCCCAGATGATGTCATGGTTTTGTAAGCCTCTGATTCAGAAATTGAGTCAACTGGAGGCACACCTGTGGATGGATTTTATAACAACATACCAAACACTCTGCTCCCTTATGTGAACTCATGGCAAAATCCAAAGAAATCACTCAAGATACCAGGAAAATAACTTTGAATGCAGACAAGTCCGGGTCAACCTTGGGTTCCATTTGCAAGTGCCTGAAGGTGTTTATCTGTTCAAACAATTATATGCAAGTAAAAACTCAAAAGAAATGTCCAGAGATTAACATATTTTGGTGCAAAATGTGTATGTCAACATCAGAACAAAAGCAAACATCTTTTTGACAACACAGTGTCATTATCCTCACTTAAGTTTACAACTTACAGTTTGCACATGCACTCTGGGATAATAGACTATAGTTTTTAGAGACAGTTCCTGCGGTACAATATAGTGAAGACATGGAGAAAATATGGGACAGAAGCCAGATGTTTCTCTAAACTTTTCAAAAACAAAAAAAATGTTGACAGGCCATGGTATTTGGCAAAATACAAACAACAATGCTGGAGAAGATGCAATACCTTCCAACAAATACTGACAACAATCTCCTTCATTTTCCACATGTCTGGACCTAGAGGTAGGATTCCACAACAAAAGCCTTTCATTCCAAAAAAGCATCAAGGCCTGGCTAAAATCTCTCAGCATATTGTGTGACAATGACAATAAGCTATTGGGTCACAATTGCAAAAAGGTTGTTTGCAGAACAGCCACAGTGAAATATAGTCACGGCAGCATCATACTGTGGGGTAACGTATCTTCAGACTGAACAGGAGTTTTTCTCAATGTGGATAAAATGATGAACAACCACAAATACAAGTCAATTTTGACCTTCAACCTTCAGGTTTCTGAGAGAAAGCAGAAGACGGAGCGATATCTAATAGCTTAGCATCACAGCCAGTCCAAAACAACACAAGAATGGTTCACCAGAATACTGAGCAGCCAAAATGTGACATGTTGTTCGGCTGCAAACAAAGAAGCCTGCTAAAAGTAAAACACCCATGCAAACAGGTTATTGCATGGTTTAATTTTTCTCCTCCAAAAATTATGTTAGTATTTTGATTTGATTTGTGCATGATGTGTGCTACATTCATATTCTCATTTCAACCCTCAATTCTAATAAACATTTTTTTTTTTTTGTTTGCTACAAATATTTAAGAACATTTTACTGAAATTCTGCAAAGATTCTGACCATGTCAGTTTGGGTTTCTTTAAAAAAAAAAACAAAAAAAAAACTGACAGTCAGAATTTTTGCAGATGCAGATGGTGCACAACACCACCAACGCAATAACCATCAATGACCACACTCTTGATTACGGCTGTATTTACATGCAAAATATTTGCACTACTCTTGTGTGACTAAAAACAATGACTTTAGTTTTTTCTTTATTGTGCAGGCACTATTATGTTACCATTTTAAAACAGTTTTAAAATGAGGAAAAGCATGTGCATACAATACATGATGTATTGCAGGTAGTGGCGCACAAAAATGATGGATTATTAAAACCACCATGATTCTAACTGTAGTTTGTTCTAGCTAACACATCTGCATTTTAACCTTTTCAGGTAAAAATATTTAAATATATACCACAGTCGAATCCTGGATGACTATGATTAACTTGCATGACCCCTATGTGAAGGACAGAAAACTGAGGTACGCCATCATCATTTTACTGTCAAACAAAGCAGCACATTTTTACATCAAGTGCAGCAGAGGGAGGCATATTAATGTTCTTGTTCTAACATTGTAATAGCCAGTTGTAGTCAGATGATTATATAGACTCCTCCTGGGCATAAAAGTTAAATATACCAGGGAAAAAATGTGTCCAAAGTATTATACACCTTAAAGACATCTTCTGTTTTTGCTTCAGTTTTCAAACTAATTTCATTATCAAACAAAAATAAGATTTTGATATTTAAAGAGGATAAAAAAGGATTTCTTAAAAAATCTACAATGAATTTCAAAAGGAGAATGACAATAATGCCACATGGAATATTGGTTCAGATTTTCTTTATATTTGTCATTAGACTGAAACCAATGTGCTTTTTAAAAATCACTCTTTCATCATTTCCAAAAATATTTGATTATTGTCTCATTTTAAATCTTGAATGATATGTTTTTAACCAAACATTTACATGGAATAAATATTAGCGAATGAAAAATTATCCCTCCAGTAAGTTATTAGGTGATGTTTGTGGTTTGAGTAAACTCATTAAGAAACTAAATAGTTCATTACAAAACCATCAGAAGTTAAAGGATGCAACCTTTCCAAGAAAACCATGTTGATAAGATGGAAATAATGGACTAAATTTATTTCCCAATAGCTGGGTAGTCTTTAAATGAACCAAAAGCAGAAAGATAGTAGCACAGTTTAGTTAAGTATTTGTTTAGTTATTGCAAGTTATATATTACTTACGACATTCACTTGAATTAACGCCTCCTTAGCCCTAATTAGTAAGTACCTTTAACTAAGTAATCTAGCTTTTATCAAAGTACGGCATTGATTTTGTGGTTCCAAGCTGAATTTGTTTAGGAGGACAGAGAAAAAACAGATCTTTGGATTGTAAATGTTGCAGACCCCTGCCCCATAAACTAAAAAGCTGAATTAATGTCAATATAACCAGATGCACGGCTTCCAAAATGTTCCATTTTTGTCTTGTCAGTCCGCAGAATATTTTCCAAAAGTTTTGGGCGTCATCAAGACTTTTTTCTTTCCTCTTTTGGCAAAAATGAGACAGGCCTTTGTGTTGTGGTGCCACTTTTTCCTCAACCTTTTCCTTATAATTCAATCATAAACACTGACCTTAACCGAGGCAATTCAAGCCTGCAGTGCTTCAGATATTGTTCTGGGTTCTTTTGTGACCTCCTGGATGAGTCAATGAGCTCCTAGAGTAATTTTAGTAGGCTGGCAACTCATGGGAAGGTTCACCACTGTTTGATGTTCTTGGGGATAGTCGTTCTGTGGCTTGCCGGAGTCCCAAAGCCTTAGAAATGGCATTGAAACCCTTTCCAGGCTGATAGATGTCAATACGTTTTGAGATCCTTTTGCCCACTTCATGTTGTCAGAGAGGTTCTATTTAAGGGAATTCTTGATTCTACAAGTCTATCAATAATAAGGCATGGATTTGGCTGCTAAAGATGAATGAACAAAGTTGTTAAACATAGTTAAGTAATGGTGAGGGGTTGTATTTTCTCATAGTGGCAAAATTGTTAGAAAATAGTTTTTCCTGAATAAATAAACTGATTTTTTGTGTTTACTCAGGTTATCTTTAATGTTGTCATTTGTTTGATGAACTAAAAAATAAGTGTGACATAAAAGCAATAGCAGAAGAAATTTGTAAGAGGAAAACACCTTTCAATGCACTTTATGTGTGTTAACACTGTGTGGATGGAAATCCATAAAAAAATCTGCTTTGTGCATCCATCTCTTGTTGCATGCTGTATAATCATGCCCAAGATGAGTGGATGTGAATGTCTAACTGCAACTGTACGATATTTAACATTACTTGCAAAGATGTGATCCTGTTTCAGAAAGTGACACAGCTGCAAATTTTGTCTTAATGTGAAAAAAATGACTTTTCTGTTATTTCCATTAGAGCTTCCCAGCAATATTTCATCCCTATTTTGCAAATGTTAACTAGAAACCCTGTATTATTCTTGAAATGGTGTTGAAAAACAATTCTGATTTGGTTTCTTGACTTCCCCCTCCTCTGTTTGCTAAAGTATTTCTGCATCAACAATACTTTTCCAGTTGACAAATCTTTGCCTAAACTCCAAAAGGCCTTAAGCCATTCTTCAGGAGCATTCCTGTTGTCAGTCTAGCTGTGCCATTTTTTTCTCACTAATCCGCCTCCTAAAAGGCAAAAAATAAAAATAAAAAGCAGCCTGACAAGTCAAATTGTTGCCTTTTACACTCCTGCCCCATCTCTTCCCCAAACCCCATTACCCCTATGTCTGATCGTGCACTCTGATAAAAAAGAAGATGGACCGAGACTGAGGCTGTCTCTGCAGGCTTCGATTGCACAACGCTGTTATCCCTTCCTCTTGCATTAGGCTTTTGTAGGAGGTGACTGCTGATGAGCTGTTGCTTCCTATAGGTATGCTATTTCAGCAGCTCACCCAAACAGAGGGGTTGCAGACGGGGAGATAAAGATCATCGCCTGCCTGAAAAAGAACCAAGCCAAAGGCGAGACACCGTGATGGTCTCCTTTCCTTTGTCTGATTGTTTTACAGAATTGGAGTTGGTGTGAGAAAAAGAATCAATAAGTGATGGGAGCGTCGTTGAGACTGTTACTGAGTAGTGATCTAAATGTTCATCCTAAAAACACTTTGTAGTATCTTTCATTAGAACATTGAAAAATCCTCTTATCTACACAACCGGTTTAGACAGTTATTTAATTTATTTAGAGAAGCAGTTTTAATAGATAATGAGATCTTGAGTAATGTATATTATTTAGGCTTTTTATATTCCCTTAATATTCCTTGTTTCTGTTTTAAAATCCTCAAACCATAGCAAAGATATACTTCTGTTCTTGTTTGGCATCAATACATATGTGAATTTGACTATTGAGTTTAGCGTTATGACAGAAATGAAGAAAATAATATAGAGTGGGCTTTGAAAAATGCACAGACCCCTGTTTTAAAGGCATAAAAACAAGAGCATTGGCGCGGCTGATGGTGTAGAGGTTAATCGCGCGACCATGTACGGAGGCTACAGTCCTCGAGGCGGCTGTCCTGGGTTCAAGTCCCGGACCTGGCGACATTTACCGAATGTCTCCCCCTCTCTCTACCCCCTTTCCTGTCTACCTACAGTCAAAAAAATAAAGGCCGCTAGTGCCGAAAAAATATCTTCAAAAAAAAAAAAGAGCATGATGAATGATTTCAAACCTTTTACCACCAGTGATGTGATATACATCCTGTACATTTAAAAAACTGTTCATAATTTCCTCCACCTGAATAAAATCTTTTGTTTAATCTGAAGACTTATCCCTGATCATAATGCTGCCACCACCTTGTTTATCTATGGGTGTGGTAAAAGTAAAGTAAAAGTCATGGTCTTTTAGTACTTACACCAGGAATGTCGTAAGGTCCGATTGTTTGGTCCAGACCAAAAGCAGATCTTTCTGATTTGGTGTGGTTTGCCTTGAAATTGTACTTTTTGCAAGTGAACTCTAACTTGTACACAAAGCGATCATTGCTCCCATTGAACAGAAATGCCTAGGGTGGGACAGAATACAGACCCAGAAAAGGATGAAAACATTTTTAATAAGTCTCGTGCCCATATACAACTTTGGCGAAATTTTTTCACTTTAACGCGGCATTGTTATGGAGACTGCTCAAAACCCGTCTCCATTGTTTTCTTGCTAAATAGGCTGAACACAACCACATTCTTGTGGGTTTTCCAGCACTTGAGTTAGGTGTGCATCTGCCCAAATATCAAGGAGACATAGTGTCTGCCTGTTAAGTCCAAAAAGATATGCAAATTTCCTGTGGTTGGGTTTGATCTAGACTGGCTTGTATTCACATCAGAAGCAAACTGCACCAGAGTCCGTCTGAAAGCGGACTGAGACAACTTCAAAAAGTTGGTCTTAATCTGGTTTTGTGGTCAAGGCAAGGGTGTGCTTGAGTCCCTGGTTTGTAATTCAAGCCCCTGGCTTGAATTACAATTTGAGGTTGTTATTCATGCCTCCGTTGCCATCTGCCTTGATTACTGCAATGAACTTTATGTAGGGGTTAGTGATTCTTCTATTGCCCAGCTCCAGAGGATGCAAAATGCAGCAGTGTGTCTTCTAACCCTTTCAAGTAAATATAAGCACATTACCTTAATTGTTGCTTCTTTCCACTGGCTGCCTTTACATTTTAGGATTTATTTTTGATTTGTTTTTAAATCACTCTTTCTCCATCCTACCCATCTGAGCTGCTCCACTCTGATTATCAACTGATCAGTTGCAACCTCAGTGCTTCAAAAGCCAGAACGTAAAATTAGGGGGGACCGTGCCTTTTCGGTTGCAGCTTCTAAGATGTGGAATACCCTACCACTGTGAATATTCACTGCCAAAAAAATCAACTCTTTTACTCTGGCCTTTGACTCTACTTGAGATGCTGATTTTTACTTTACTGTTTCTTGTGCTGATTTATTTGCTTTTTTTGTATGATTGTTCTTACCCTTGTTTTATGTTTCTCAGTAATCATATATAAACACTATTGCCAAAAGTATTTGTCCGTCTTCTTTTACATGTACATGAACTTTGATGACATGCTGTTTTTAATCTACAGGGTCCAATTTGTTGATGAACCCACCGTTCCCAGCAATTCTGTAAACATCTTCCACAAGGTTTAGGAGTATTTTTGTAGTTAGATGAGATAACCAGAATTGCAGCCTCTGCTCTAATTCACCCCAAAGGTGTTCAAGAAGGTTGAGGTCAGGACTGTGAAGGCCAATCAAGTTCCTCCACAGCAATAGAAGTGATTGTAACACCAGAATTCATTGATTTGGTGCTGGAGAAATATGATCTCTCCTTTTAATTTTCATCAGAGCTCTTACAGAGTAATTTTTGATAAGTTGAAGGCTTTTACTGAATATTTTGTAAATATTGTGCAGTTGACAGATGGATGTCTTAGAAATGGTTATTTGCGCAGCGATGTTTTTGACTCAAACATACGTCTTGGAAATATGGTTCAAAAGTTTAAATGTTATTTTCTCAGCCAAGGAATTTAATTTTTTTTTTTTTATTATTTTTGTTTATGGACAAAAAAAGAATGCCTCTTTAGTAGAGGCATATAAGAAAAACAGGAAAATGCTGACGCATGTAAAACACAAGCAGTACTTTTAGGAAATTCCCTCTGTGTTTGTGTCAGGCTCCTGGTGCCCTCCCTGTGCTGTTCCTGTTTTGTCAATTTTACATATAACTGGCCAGTTTTTGTAAAATAACTTATTTTTTTTTACCATATTTTAGATACATAGATAACTGCCTTCAGCGTGACATATATCTATAATCCTATGTGGAGCATGAGATTATTTTGATCCTTTGGTACCTTTCTGCAAACTATAACTTTAGTTAAAAGTTGCAAATTAGCCAAAACAATCAGAATAACTTAACTGACTTTGAGTTCAGCTGGTTTACTAAAATTAATGACAGGTCATTAATTAGACCAAAGAAGACTGAATGCTGGAATTCAAACAAAAGTTGATTCAGCAAAATATTAGTCTCAGGGTGTTCACACCCACAGTATACAACCAGGTCATTGTATTTCTTGATCTTTTACATTTCCACTCTGACATATATATTTGTTTTTTAGTTGAATTGTGCAGGATATATAGTCATATTAAAAACTGAAAAGTTTTGATAGTTGTTATCACGGTCTACATCTACACATGGTCTAAATCTCAAATAGCGGCCATTTTAACATTGCTGGCAGGTTAGAGTTAGCTGCAGCTGTAAGCAACAAAAACATTAGAAATTATGAAACCAAAGATGTTTGTTTTTTGTAGTAAAATAAAATAAGAATATAAAAAAAGATTGCTGCCTGACATTTTCTTCTAGTTTGTCTCTATTAATGGACATTTGAGTCTTTCAGGGAAACAAAAGATGCCTTATAACAAATGTGTTTATCACGGCTGCAGGTAAGCGCTCTCTGCACCCCGTGTTTTATGTAACACAGCAACTATCCACTCTTATATAACCACTATAGCGTATCTCATCCTTGGATTTTCCTACTAACAACCCCCTCCAAGCGATGTGCCTCCAGATCCTCTTTAATAACCTTGGATGGAGACGAAAGGAGCAGAGCTGGAGAAGAAAAAGTCTCCTTCAAAGGAGGCTCCATTCACGATTTTCTCTTTGAGTGGGGAAGGGTTTAAGGACAGGTCATCTTGTAGTTATCGAGGGCTGTCAGTGTAGATAGACAAAGCTATAGATATACCGAGCTGTTTGTTTGGGTGCTTGCAGATGATTTCAGTAAAAAAGTCAAACAGGCCCTGTGACTTTCTGGGGGATTAGGTGTTCCTGCTTTGTCTGCCCTCTGCTCATGAGATCCATTTACAGCTTTTCAGGCAGAGACCAGATGGTAGCATTAAATAAATGAAAGTTGCTGTCTCTTCAACTGAGGATTATTAGATTTATTAAAACAAATTTGACTTATGGTAAAATAGTTGCAGAGAAGAAATCACCGTCTGCCAAAGCTATTATAGTTCCGTCTGATGCAAGCATTTCTGCATCATCTCTGGTGTCTTTAAAGTTTTACATGTGTTCAAAAAGATGCAACAAAACAGCAAAGAGAGATACAAATGTGGCAGTGGGGTGGCATGTTGAGCATTAGTTATCATATCACTCATTTCGAACTCAGAGTGAGAGCTTTGTTAAGTTGATGGACCAAAATCTCATCCACAATCATGCTGAGCCCCTCTGAAACAGCACGCTCTAAACTGTGTTTAATTATAGCTGCGTGAGAAGTGGGGAGACTCTCTTTCTCTCTGTTTCTGCCTCTGCTTCAGCATGGGATCCATTAAACATCCAGGTAACCATGACAACAACTAAATGAAAGAACAACACTGTTGAACTGTGGATATCTGTGCCGAAGAACTGTCTGTGGAAACAATCAGACAAGTGGTTTTCACCAACACAAGACTGCAAGATTCATTTTAACAGAGAAAAAATATAGAATCATAACGTGTGCTGTAACCATCCAACTAATAATCATTGTTAAACATGTTACTTAAAAAAATTAATTAGTCATAGTTACTTCTCCAAAAAGAAACAGTTAGTAACTGAGCTACTGAGTCAACTATAAAAGTAACTAGTTAACACATCACTTTTTTTAATTTAAATATTTTTAGATTTAGATTTTTTTCTAAGGTTTCACCAAACAGTTGCATAATGTGGAATTACATAGACAAGTAGCTTACTTACACCAAACGTTTAATATTTACTTCTCATGTACGTTCATGCCTTTCTCCTTAAGGAGAATAAAGTAGTGTTGGTACGTTCACTTTGAAGTCACAATCCTTCCCTCCAGACCCGCTATTGTTGCAGCTTACATCTGCTAGTTTGCCTGAGCAGGGCTGCCATATGTGTTTGTGGTTGTGTGTAAACTGAAAACTGCCTCTGATTGACTTACAATGAAAGCTAACCTTAGCCAATCATCATTACTTATACGATTGTTTTAGCTCTTGCTCCTCCCTTCACCAAAGAAAACAAAGCTTAGCTCCTGTGCCTGTGAATCACGACAGATGACAAGAGCTTCAATGAGTAGCTTTAGTTTATAACGTGTTTATAATTGTCGGTAAAAGTAACGACATTGTAAGACTAAGAAAAGTTATTTGTTTGATTACTCGTTACTGAAAAAAGTTACGTAGTTAATTCAATTCAATTCAGTTTTATTTATATAGCGCCAATTCACAACACATGTTGTCTCAAGGCACTTCACAAAAGTCAGGTACATACTGTACATTCCAATTAGTCCTAACCATTGAACAGAACAGTGCAGTCAGAGTTAGTTATTTATTCATATTGGATAAAAAGTTTTTCTGTCTAAGGAAACCCAGCAGATTGCATCCAGTCAGTGACTTGCAGCATTCCCTCCTCCTGGATGAGCATGTAGAGACAGTGGACAGTCACTGGCGTTGACTTTGCAGCAATCCCTCATACTGAGCAGGCATGTAGCGAGTAACGCTGTTTATTTTAACGCTTTTTATTCCCATCAATGCTAAGGATAAGTATTTGACAGATTTCTTGTCTTTGCTATTTCTGTC